GTAGGTGGGATCGAAGGATCGCGTCGCATCGCCAATGCATCGCCGACGCATTGCCGATACATCGGCGATGCACTGGCGACGTCGGCGATGCTTCAGCGACGCCGGCGTGGGGACACTCGGGCTCCGCATCAAGACGCATCGTGGATGCATCGGCGATGCGGCGCGATCTTCCGACCCCATCTACAGTAGGGGCCCGGCCACAAGAGACCTTCCGCAAGAGACCCAACCCTGAGACCCCGGGGCGTCCATCGGTTTTTGGCGTGGGCACGTCACCCTCTCCGTGGCAAAACCATAGAAAGCCAAGAAACCCAGGGTACCCTGGAGGCAAGCAGGGTGCCTCTTGGCGTGGGCACCCACTGTACTCGGACCCCACGCCCACACTCGTTCCCCGGTGCGTGGGGGGGGTCCGAAAGGCCCCGGCGCCGGCCCGAGAAGCCCTCCGCGCGGACCTCCCGCAGCAGTGCGTTCGTGCGTGGCAGGTCGGGCCGGTGCTTTGTGGTCTCCGTCGCCTGCCACGCCAGCGCCGCGGCATGCCCCATGGCCGCCCCCCGCAGTCCCTGGGACTCTTCGCTTCCCTGTGGCGGCCTCGGCCTTGAGCGCGTCTGCCCCCGCCACGTGCCGCACTTCCTGCACCGCCACCGCCGCCCCGCCGCCTCTGCTCCCTGTCAACATTGTCCTCATCGTTCTCCCATGTTCCTCCTCCCTCCTCCCCCCTCCTCGTCCTCCACATCCACCTCCTCCTCCTCCTCCTTTTCCTCCTCCTCCTCCTTTTCCTCCTCCTCCTCTCCCCTCTACCTAGCTGCAACTGTTTCCCCTTCCTCATCCTCCGCCTCCTCGTCCTTCCTCTGTGCTCTTCCTCATCACCCCCTCCCTGCTCATGGCTGCTTTTTCCCTTTCCTGCTCTTCATGCTCATCCCCGTCATTCCAGCCCTCCCCTTCGTGTGTAGGGAGGGCCTCGGCCAACGACCTAGCGTGGAACAGAGCTACCCTCGTGCCCTTGCGTCCTCCTCCTCCTCCTCCTCCTCCTCCTCCTCCTCCTCCTCCTCTTCCTCCGCTGTCCGCCCTCTCCGACCACCTCCGCCCCGTTGCTCCCCGAAGAACTGGAGTTCCGTTCTCCCACCCACCCTCCGTCTGGAACGTCTCCCTCCTCTCCTCTCGGCGAAATCGTCTGGGGGGCTGGGATGTGTACCGCAAGCCTGGCCCCCACAAGCCCAGCGCGGGCCGAGAGATCTCTGCTCGCATCGGCTCCAGGCAGGTCCGGAGGCCGCATCCGCCGCCGAAGTTTGCGCGTGCCCAGAATGGGTCTTGTGAGACCTGGTGGTCGATACTTTCCTCCTCCTCCTCCTCCTCCTCCTCCTCCTCCTCCCGGACTCTACGCCCCAGACTTCCTCACCCGGTTCATGACCCTTGAGCAGCTAAAGGATCATGAAGGGTGGGTTTTCAGCTAAACTTTAGCAACTATCACCCTATATGATCCAAGCTAAACTTTAGCAAATCTCAAGCTCAAGCTTAGCTTGATATGTACAACATTATCACGGATGGAGGGCGGGCCGTGTGCAAAATGTGGCTCTCGTCTTGGCGCCGCGCACATTCCCCCATACTTGGATGGAAGGCGGGAAGTTGTTTCAGAATGTGACTCTCGCCTTAGCGCCGCGCACATTCTTCCAGGTTTGCCCGGGTTTCATGGATGGAGGGCGGCTCCTTTTCAAAATGCGGCTCTAGTATACACGCCGCGCACCATCGGTTTCTGAGTTCACAGCCGTTTCAAGAGTTCTTCTGGTTAACGTCCCAGAGGTGGTGTTTTGGCACGATGTAGGACTGTCAGGGCGCAACAACCTCGTGGACTCGCGGTGTTGAAGTTCCGGGAACGGCCTTCTGACGCGATTCAGGATCGTCAGGACACTAAAGTACAGTTGATTCGCGACGTTGCAGTACTAGGAATGGTGTTTTGCCCCGGTTCCAGATTTTGAAACGATTGTCTTTCAACAGGGCACTTTCCCACGTGAAAACAAATCCTTGGAGGGGCCTGTGGGGAGGGAGCTTGGAGGGAGGGTTTTTGCAGTACCGCTGGTGAGTCGTGGGTTTGCACTGATCCTCCTCCTCCTCTGCGGGGCACCCCTCGGCGGTGTTCACTCGGCCGAGACGCTCGCTGCTCGGGGGCGTCCACGGCGCGAGCGCGAGGGCAGTGAAGATGCCTGCGAGGAGGCGGGCATCGACCGAGCCCCGGCGCACGCTCTGGATGGGACAAACATGCCCCCCCCCCCCCCCCTGGAATCCGCTTGGGGGCTTGGGCACGTGCTGTCGGAACGGGTGGAGGGGAGGCTGGAGGAGGAGGGGGAGGAGGAGAGGGAGGAAAAGGAGGAAGAGGAGGAGGAGGCGGAGAATGGTGGAGGAGGCGGCGGAGGAGGCTGGAGGAAGAGGAGGAGGATGAGGAGGTGGAGGAGGATGGAGGGGGGCGGGACTGGGCGAGCTCATTCGGAAGGATGATCACCCCCCCTTGATAAATACCCCCTCCAGAGTAACAGGAGATGCTGAAAATGAAGGGGCCCAGAGACACACAAGTTACTACACACAGAAATCCCAGCATCCCCCTATATTTTCAACATCTTCTTGATCTTCATCCCCCCCCCCACTTCCCATATTTTCCCAGGCCTTCCTGGGAGTCGACGATCAAGCCTGTGCCTGTGTGTTTTGCTCCCCGTCCTCCGAAAACCTGGCTCGCATCTCGAGCCTCCGAACCTCCGCGGGCGCGGCCGGTCCACCTGGACCTCCTGGCCGACGACGTGGGCCTCCAGAGGACCTCCCGAGGCCTCCGGCGCCCTCCGGGGCAGGGGCCGACCTGAGCGGTGCTCTAGCGACTTCGTGGGCCGCGGCTGCTGCGATGCCGCGTCGATGCAACTGGACTCGTCGGCCCCAGACCCCCCTCGCGTTTTGACAAAAGTCACGACGGGAGGTCGTTCGCGACTTCGGCCTCCAAGGGCCCAAACCGGGCCTCGGGACCGGCAAAACACGACACAGGATGCAAAACCGGTCCCGGTGAGGGGGTCCAGACCTCTGGGGGTCGACGTTGTGAAAGAATCAGTTTTGCAGCAAAGGCGGATGGAAGACAAAGGACGGGGGGGCGCGAACGCAAAAAGGAAACGACAAGCACTGGTGGGGTCGATCCCTGCTCCAGGGACCTTTCGACGCCCAAAGAAGGAGGAGGAGGAGGAGGAGGAGGAGGAGGTGAAGGAGGAGGAAGAGGAGGGAGGAGGGAGAGGAGGAGGAGGAGAGGAGAGGAAGAGGAGGGAGGTAGGAGAGGAGGAAGAGGAGGAGGAGGAGGAGGAGGAGGAGCAGCAGGAGGAGGAGGTTGATGAGGAGGAGTGAGGGAGGATGAGGGAGGGAGGGGGGGGGGGGAGGGAAAAGAGAGGGGGAGGACAAGGGGGAGGAGGAGGAGAAAAGAAGGAGAAAAAGGAGGAAGGGGAGGGAGGAGGAGGAAGAGGAGGAGGAGAGAGGGAGAGGAGGAGCAATGGAGGAGGAGGAGGAGAAGGTAGTAGGAAGCAGGGAGCAGGAAAAGGAAGGGAGGAGTGAAGGAGGTATGGAGGAGAAGAGAGGGAGGAAGAGGAGGGAAGGATGATGATGATGATGATGATGATGATGATGATTGATGATGATGATGATGATGGATGATGAGCATGATGAGGATGATGATGATGATGATGATGATTATGATGATGATGCCTGATGCTGATTATGAGTATGCTGATGCTGATGATGATGATGATGATGAGGATGAGGAGGAGCACGGAGGAGGAGGAGGAGGAGGGAGAGGGGGAGGAGGGAACAGGAGAGGAAAAGAAGGAATGGGAGGCGGAGGGAGAGGAGGAAGGGGAGGAGGAGGAAGAGGAGGAGGAGGCGGAGGAGGAGGAGGAGACGGAGCAGGGAGAGGAGGCGGAAAAGGAGGAGGAGGAGAAGGAGAGGGAAGAGGAGGAGGGGGAGGATGAGGATGAGGAGGAGGCCTCTCGACGCCCAAACCAGTTCCTGGGTCGCCAAGCTTGGCGCCTCGCGCCCCGCGGTGTGCGCGGCTCGCGGCCATCTTCTTCGCGCCTTCGCGCCGCCGCCTCTGGAGAGGGGCGCGCCTCTCCAACCTGGACCGCAAGGCGCGAAGCGCGATGACCTCTGCGCCTCTGGGGGTGACTCGCCGTCCCTTCCCAGAACTTCCTCCTCCTCCATCTCCTCCTCCTCCTCCTCCTTTTCCTCCTCCTCCTCCTCCTCCTACTTCCTCCTCCTCCCCCTCCTTCCTCCTCCTCCCTCCTCCTCTTCCCCTCCTCCTCCCTCCTCCTCCTCCTCCTCCCTCCTCCTACTCCTCCTCCCCCTCCTCCTCCTCCTTGTCCTCCCTCCTCCTCCTCCTCCTCCTCCTCCTCCTCCTCCTGCTCCTCCTCCTCCTCCTCCTCCTCCTTCTACTCCTTCCTCCTCCTCCTCCTCCTGCTTTTCTCCTCCTCCTCTTCCTCCGCTCCCTCACCGTCTTCTTTGCCTATTTCTTTTCCGTTCCTCATTCATGTGTGTACTCCTACTCTCCCTTCTTTGCTCCTCGCCCCTTTCCTCCTCCCCTCTTCCTCCTCCTCCCTCCGCCTCCTCCTCCTCCTCCTCCTCCTCCTCCTTCTCCTCCTCCTTACCCTCCCAGAAATCTCACCGAGCACATCGATCCTCGACGCCGGCCCAAGACCCCCGACGTCATGAGTTTTGTCGGGACGTCGTCCCCAGAGGGCTCGACCCCTTCCGCAGGACAGGCTCCTCGTCCCAAGCGGTCTTTCGACGGTCCCGACGCCGGGGGAGGGCCCCCCGATGGTGAAGCTATGCAGAGGAACACCTCCCGTCGAGGTTTTTTTATGACTCGAGAGGGGCCCAGAGCCGTTGTCGTGGCCGTCGCCTGCGGCCCAGGCGCGGGCGGCTCGCCTGGAACTCCTCGAACCTGGACCAGAGCGTGAGCCCCGGGTACCACTCGGCGTGGCCCCAGATGCCTCGGCCACGCCGCGCGCCGCGACTTCGAGCTGTGAGCTCGCACCAGAGCCCAGTCCTCTTCCAAACTGCCTCGACGTCATCGTCGTCGTCGTCCTCCTCCTCCTCCTCCTCCTCACGCTCCACCTCCTCGCTCTCGTCGTCGACGTTCCTGTGTTGTTCCTGACCGTCTCTGGGCTCGGCGGGATGGCATACGCCTCTTGAGTACGCGTTAGCCAGGCGTGGATCCCAACCAGGACGTCAGAATGAACGTGCACGCTGTGTGGTGCAGCCTGTGTGGTGTACGCTAAGATGGTATGGTACACGTGGTGGAAGCCGGAAGTGGCAGCGAATCCCCGGCGGACCCTCCAAGCGGCAACGGGTCGTCAACGGGCGGAAGGGTGGCGAATCCTCGGCGGACCTACCAAGCAAGAAACGCACGCAAGAAACCCTGCAGACAACCAGGTCATGTGACACGATATGAGGAGTCGGCCCGAAGTCTCAAATCGCATGGAGGTGCCAAACTCTCCGTCCAGCCAGTCCAAGGGCAGTCGGCCCAGCCAGCCTGGAGAGAAGGCCGTCTGGCGGTAAATCGCGGGCGATAAGCGCAACGTCGGGCACTGGCACACGTTGACGAGGGTCCCCGTTCGGGAGGGTCAACCTCGCCTCGGGCGTCGGATCCAAATACGGATCCGCTGCGGGTCCTATGCGGATCCAAAACTTGCTGGACGAATCCTATGCGGATCCGCTGGGCCCTGGACGGACCCCGACGGCGGGAAAATCGCGCGTTTGGCACAGATCCTTGAAGGGGGCCCTGGGACACACAAATAAATGCACACAAATTCGCCGGCCCAACGGGCCAGAGGCGTGCTAAGATCTCCGGTAACTGGTTAACAATTTTCTAGTTCGCGCGCGCGGGGCGGCCCCTGGGGGTCCCCGGACGAAAAGTACCCCGACCAGGTCCCGGCCGGTCCCCGGCCGGGTCCCGGCCGGGTCCCGGCCGGGTCCCGGCCGGGTCCCCCCGAGCGCTCCATGAGCGCACCAACAGGGCTCCGAGACGTCCCCGAGAGCCCCAAGAAAGGCCAAGAGGCCCCCAAGAGGCCCCCAAGATGGTACACGAGGGGTCCGACATGCCACAAGATCGCTCCAAGACGCCCAAGATAGCCCCCAGACGCCCCAAGAGGCCTCCAAGAGCACTCCCAATAGGGCCCCCGGAGGCAAAAATCATTGTTTTTCCATAGGTTTTTGAAAGATTTTGGAGCTTCCACCTTTTCGGCTTCCCGACGCCCCAAGACGGCCCAAGAGGCCCCCAAGATCGCCCCAAGAGGGCCCAAGAGGCACCCAAGAGGGCCCCAAGATGGCCCAAGAGGGCTCGAAGACGGCCCAAGAAGCCTCCAAAACGGTCCAAGAGGGCCCCAAGAACGCCCCCAAAGGGGCCCCAGAGAGGGAACACGAAACAACATTTCGAGCCCTCGGCCCTAAGAAGCCCCTACGAGGCCCCTAAGAGGCCCCAAGAGGCCCCCACGGGGCCCTCAGGAGGCCCCCAAGAGTTCCCCAAGCGGCCCCAGGAGGCCCCCCAAATGCCCCCCCGAGCGCCCCAGGAGTCCCCCAAGCGGCCCCAGGAACCCCCAAAGCGCCGCATTGACACCAGGCCCTCGGGCAAACGGCAGACATGAGACTGTATGGGCCGGCGGAATGAGCGAAGCGATTAAATAACAGGATCCCCCACAGTTTCCCATATTTTCCGGGTTTTCGCCTTTCCCCCCACTTCCCATAGTTTCCCGTATTGTCAGGGGAATCGACGATTCATTGTGCCTGTGTTTTTTCCCTGAATCCTGTCGTACCAGTGTGCCGGTGTGGGTAATACATAAGGGGGCTCCGGGGACGATTTGCGCAGGGCACGGGGGGCCGGCGCGACAGAGGGGGGCGGGCGCCTCTCAGAACTTCACGCAGGCACGCCGTCTATAGGGACTTTAAGCAGGCGCTCCCGCCAGAACTTGCCTCGGGCGCCTCGTGCTAGAGAGCTTGGCGGAGCTGCTCCTGCTGGAACTTTCCTCTTGCTGGGCTCCTTCTGGAACTTTGCTGGGTTGCTCCCGCTGGCACTGCCCTCGAGCAGCTTCGGCTAGAACTTTCCCGAGCTGCTCCTGCTAGAACATTCCTCGTGCGGCTGCTTCGGGAACTTTCCTGAGCTGCTCCTTTGGGTTCCGACGTTTTGGCCGTCGCGCGTTATGATCACTGGACCTCGCCGGTCGCCGGCGTCGTCGTTGTCGACGTCGGCGCCGCCGCCGTCGCCGCCGCCGTCGCCAGCGGTGGCGCCGACGTCGCTGTTGCCGTCGTCGTCGCCTTCACCGCCGCCGCCCCGCTCGTTGTCTGTCGCGGTCGCCATCGCCGTACCCGTTGCCTTCACCCTCGCCGTCGGCGACGCCGTCGTGGCCCTTATGGCAGCCCCTTGCTCCAAAGAGTCGACGATCTCGGCCCAATTGGCGCGCAGCAGCCCCTCCCTCGTCTAGCCCGATGGAGCTCCTGACTGTGCCTGGGCGCGCTCTCGCCCATGCACCTTCTTGAAGTTCAGGCCCCCGGTCATGCGTTGATTCAGTCACGCGTCCAGTCCAGGCAAATCCTACCGACTTCAACGGACCTGCGTCCTCGACTGCCCTGCTCTGCGTCCTCGAATGCCCGAGGGCCAACAGAGACACCCCCAAGACGGATCGCATAACCGAAGAGGGGCTACATACGCCTCCAAGATGGCCCCATAACCCCTCCAAGACACCCCAAGAGGGTCACACGGCTGCCGACAGAAAAAAAACACGATGATGCCAAGAGGCCTGAGGATCTATCCCAGGATGCAACCGAGGAGCCTAGGAACGCACACATTGGCGCGACGCTGCTCTTCGCTCGCACGGCTAAGGGGAACTGATATGGGGTCGGGGTAGATGGGGTTTGCGCTCAACCATGGGCAGCCTAATATATCACTAATACAACGCCTTGGACCCCTCAGGAAAGCGTTCGACACCCCACCATCGACGTGGCGTACACAGCGTGGTAGGTTCACAATCGTCTCGTGACGATTGCACTGTTGATCCCCGAGCACGCGCCACGTGGGTGCCGAACCACGACTGGTTCGGACATCCAGGTGACGCCATCTCCAAGGTCAACAACGCAACGGACTCTTGACGACGCGCGAGCCTACTAAACTTGGCGTGCCCCGAGTCGGAATTTCGGGCGCCGAAGTGGGTGTCACGCGCCCAAGTCGGTGCAGAGGCGCTGCACTGCACGATTCAGAGTTGCGCACGGCCCTGACCCGCCTCAAACACTCGCAACATCTCCGTGGCTCCTAGAAGCGCCCTAGAGGCTCAATGTGTCCAGCGAAAGTCATCCCTCTTATGGCGATGCGTCCCGTGAACACCGCCACCATCGCGATCGCCTTCCGTGCTACCATGAATTCAACAAATCTGATTGGAACGCCGCCGCCACCATCGCATCATCATCGCTACGACCACCACCATCGTCGTTGGCATGATCGTCGTCGCGATGGTCCGTCCGTGCTTGTGATCCCCAACGCACGCTCAGACCGTTCTTGGTTTGTGGGGTTAGTTTCCCAGGTTATGTTACACTGCAGGCCGCAGGCCGTTTCACTCCGTAATGATTTCACGTGTTTTGTCATGCGGGTGCGTGCATGTAAGGGCACAGGTTGGTGTCTGCGTGCGCCGTTCTGCTTGCGTACACTCGTGCGTGCGACAGTCTCTTTGTATTTCGTTAGTGTCTGTATTTCTCCCTCTCCGTATTGTTGTTCAGACTTGATAGTTCGGTTGTTTGTTGGGTGATTTCGCGTTCCCCTTGAAGTGTTCAAATTGACGTTGTTGATCTTCGTTCGTCTGGGTAGGCAGCGGAATAGGCGAGACCCAACATACATATGACCCTAGCTCCTCAGAAGACGTAGCGAGGTGGCGGATTGGGCGAAGCCTCGTAGATAGGACGGCAGCGGCGTGGGGAGGAGAGGAATGAGGAGGTGAAGGATCAGGAGTCTTGGCTGGCCTCGCACGCCTTGCAGCGTTCTAACATCACAGCGGTATGACCCTCTTGGCTCAAGTGTTATCAACGTAACTCCTCGACATTTTCCACCAGCACGGGCAGAACGATTATCACCAATCGAACGTGTCTCACGGCACGCGGTGTATATAACCGCGACTCGCTAGCAGCCATCTTGCATGATATCAGTTGCGGCAGGTGCTGCCACTCAACATCAAACGCTCAATTACGAGAAACAAAAACCTAAGCTCGGGGACACTACCAACCTGAGGAGAACAGCAGTGCGGGTCCCGACGTAGTAACGTAGAGTACCCACCCTACCACACGTACACGTGCGCATGATCGTAGTGCGAACATGTGTGTTGATATTATCGTTTGTTATGTTGGATAGTTCACGCGTACGCATGCACTGCTTGCACTAGCAGGTAGCCTCACTGCACATTGACCCCTACATTGAAGCGCTCGTCCCGAGAGCCTCCTAAATGTCAGACGCAGGCGGTGCCCCAGAGACTCTGTGACTAAAAGACGTGCGATCAAACGATCGGCCCATGCGCAAAAGTAAATGGGCACACAGCTAGATTCTTGAGCTTCATGTGATGCTCCCAAGCCCACTTCAGGCAGTAGGACACCGCAAGTTTGAAGGTGACGTCGTCACCTTCCACGTAGACCCTGCTGGTCGAGAATGGGGCCATCTCCGTAGGATACGATACGCGAATTCGTAAGTCCCAGTAGCGCTCGAGCGAGAGCCGACACCCTGCTACGTCTGGCAAGAATGATTTGGCCTTCTCGATGTCCAGCAGATCAGCTGGCTGAATCACTGCTTGTTTAGGGGCCCTCTTCCTAGCGGCAGCCTTGGCCTTTGCTTTGGCCCTGGCTTCGGCACGTTGCGTGGCAGCAGCTACTTGCCGCTTGTATTCAGATGCATGTTTCTTCAGCTGCTCCCTGTCGTCTTTGTCGGCGACGTCGTCGATCAAGACGCCGACGTCATCTGAGC